GTTTGCTCCCATGGCCACTGGGGGCCACCATTTTGTGAAATTAACGCAATTTGAAATGGATATTTTTTACCAAACAATTCCAATTCTATATCCCTGTTCATGTACAATAGTGTTAAAGATGTTCTCCCTGTATTTGACATCATTCAGTCCTTCTAATCTACCACACAGTCAGCGCTAACATTGACAGCGCTAATAGCTAGCTAGTTAGTTAGCTAGGTAGTTAGCTAGCGCTAGCTACCAAACACTAGTAATGTTGGTTACCAAATGTTAAAGCTAACACTATCAAAAACTGTATTGTTACCAAATATTAGCCCTTTGTAATGTTGGTAATGTTAGCTAACATTATTATCTACTGACAAGGTATGTGCCCACCGGCAACAGTAGTTGCCGCTTGGACAAATGATTGCAGACAGAAAAAACTATACATCCAATGTAATATTTCTGTTGTTTGGATGATTCTAGAGACTTTCATGATTAAGTAGTTATATATATGTCAACAAAAAAAATATTATTATAATATGAAAATCACCTTTACTTGTGGAGGTTTGTTGTCGCCATGCCCTCAGTAAGATGGGTCAGGAACTCAACAACGTCATGTGACAGGAAGTATGTGGAAACTTAATTTTTTTTCTTAATATGATTTTCTAAGGTGTCTACTCACATATCATTGGAATATATAACATGTATAGTATTTAGAAATGTATTTATAAGTGGAAAATGACAAGCATACACTTTGGCACATTTAACTCTCCCTAAAATATCAGCATTTTATTCATTAAGTCTTGGTTCTCCAGTTTTTAGCTTTGGGAGCGTTGTTCCTTTTTATAAATAGTTACAGGGCAGAGTGGGTAAATGGTATTTCATAGGAATTACTGAACAGAATTTTTTCACTTCAAAATCATTACTTTTTACAGTTTTTTTTTTTTTATCAAATAAAATCTACCCTGATACACCAGGGGGCAAAATATGGACAACTTATTACCTCAAACATATTCCTTTATGAATTTCCAGCCTTCTTTCAATTTATGATTCGAGTCAGTTCTGAAGAATATTTCCCCCTACAGCTAAAAGTGTTAAAATGCTGCTTACATTCATTCACATAACATTACTGCAATATCCATGACCTGCATCCACTGGCACAGGACAGAGACTGGAGGAAAAAACATCTTTATTAGAAATGTAGGCTCAAAGAAGGCTGGGAATCTGAAAGAAGCCAGAAACAGTTTGAAGAAGCAGAGGTCAGAGGTGACCAGGGGCATCATTATATTTAGAGTTAGATAATGTATTCCATTTCAAAAATACCTTGCTCAAACTCAAGGGCACCACACATAAAGTGGGACAGAAGGCTGTTAAAAGATGGTGCAAACAAATGAAAGTGACTCTGTGAAAGAGACAAAAATCACTGTTGTGTCTGAGCTTGAAGATTGTGTAAATGGTGACGGTATCATAGCAACTGGCAGACATCCAAAGTTTCAGAGCAGTCTGTCACTGTCTCCAAACATGTCACTGCCTGCAAAGTGTGGAGCTAGGTGGAGGTGACTGAGGGGGCGACAAGGAGACCAGTATCCAAAGGTGCAAAGACCATTGGGTTAGCGGAGCAGGCAGAACAGGTCAGCCAGATGTGCCGTTGCTGATTTTTTTTTTTTTTTGCACCTTGTAGGTGAGGAAAATAATCTCAGAGGAAATGCAGAGTTTGACAGTGAGCTGTTGCAGAGTTTTTGGTATTGTGCAGTCAAGCAAAATATGGTGAAGAGCAGCAAGATGGCTGACATATAGAAAGCAATTAAAGGCCTTGCTGGTGCCACTACGCTGGGCTCCCGGTTACATTTGTGACAGAAATACGGATGAGTGACAAAACCAACATAAAGTTAAGGTGCTGGGTCACTTCAAGCTGTCAGAACAGCTTCAGTGCACCCTGGCATAGTTTAAACAAGTCTCTGGAACTTTACCGGAGGGATGAACGCCATTCTTCCCAAAGATGTTCCCCACTGTCACTCCAAACTCACCCATAGGGGGTCTGCAGGATTGAGATCATGGCCTGTATTGATGAAACTTAGACTGCTCTAAAGAGCCAGTGTTGGAGTAAAAAGTTCTCCACCAAGTGTTAAGAATTTATATTTATACTCATGGATAAATTACTGAAGGGGCCTAAGGAGCACAGCCCCAGGGGCCCAAAGTGTCAGGGCCCCCCCTTGGCTTTCACTTGCAAATGTTGCTCAAATTAACTAATTAAGGGAAAGACTCAAAATGACCACAAAGAGATGCAAAGGAACTGCAAACAGAGACATAAAACAACCACAAGGAAACACAAAATAACTAGACAGTCCCCTCAATATTTAGAACATGTGCATTTGTCCCTCCTCCAGTAAAAGCATGAAAGTAGCAGAGGACTGAGTTTAAGACATTTCCTCCATTGACTGATGCAAAAAAGGCCTTGATCGATGCATAAAAATGCACCAAAATACAGTAAATTAAGTGTTTGACACCCAAAATTTCCTGAGGGAGGACCCAAACCCCCCGTTTCATATGTGTCCCCAAACCTATACCTTTGTTTTTAGGATTAGAGGACATCTGGGAGTCAGCTCTGACTGGTCTGGACAATCCTCCCACTTTTTTTTGATGAACAAGCTCTATTTCGATGCTTTTTATGCACTCTGGCACCTAATTTACATTCAAAATACACACACATAAAATCAAAACAGAAAAAAATCCGGTATGAAACAATTGAAATTCATTGTGAATTAGAAAATGGTCCCACGTCGCACACTATTGCAAGCCAAATTTGGCATACAGGCCCTGAGCTGAGTATCATCACTGATCTAGGAGCTCTTTTACATGTAAGAGAACTTTTAAATTAAAATAAATCTGATAGGTAACTTCTATTCCGAAGTTTGCAAGTAGTAAACAAGATGGATTTTCACTTTTATCTTTCACTTAAGTCCAAAATTTTACTTTTAGCAGCTGGATGAATATGGGTTCTGGTAAGAGGAAAGGCCACAGCATGTGATTCACATGAGTCATCTACATATCTCATGTTTATGCACTCTTTTATCGAGGTTTTTCCCATTAATCTGTACAAATTTGAATTCATTTCTGATAGCAGTTCTGTGGTAGAAGATGGGGATTTTGGTGTTTTAATGTAAAATCCAGAGCAACCTCTGAGGTTTGGCACTGCAGACTGACTGGCAGAATCTTTTCATGGAAACTCCAAACAGCATCATGGCCACTCCACTGGAAACACAAAGTCCGAAGCCAATTGCCAAATGAGCCTGGATGGAAAGATAAATGGATGAGCCGAGGTGAAGGTGCCTGTTGAAGAGAACGCGTTGGGGACAGCTAGACGGCGAGGGGAGACTAGTTGGCCACTCAGGGGCTGGGAAGACTGCCTCTGAGGATTTATTGAGGCAATAAAAGATAAGGTCACTGTGTTGTAGGCTTTAATATTAATGTGCCATTTAATGACCCTCACCATGGAAGAAACTAGGTTATCAGTAGTACAGCTCCAGGCAGTTATTTTGTAATGAAGCATGTGTGTGTAGCTGGACCACCAGTGGTGCATCAGAGAGTTCCTCCAAAGTAAAATAACAGTGAGAGCTCTTTGAGGTAAGGCTTGTAATCATCTCATTGTGGTCCAGCCTACTATTGCCTCCCAACTACTTTGACACACACAGCTTTATTAAGTAATACATTATAAGAATGTGCAGTCCCTTAGCACAGTGAATGGTCGACTGGTTATCTGTTTTGAGAGGAAAATGTGGAAAAACTTGCAGACACGTTTCTGTGCGTTGGGGGATTTGGGGGCGCCGTCCACCGCGCTCTCAGTGCTGGCATTACGTCCCGCCCCCTACTTCAGGCTGTCCAATAGGAACAGCGGGAGCTCTGGGCTCGACCAATCAGCATCAACGGATGATAGTGAATGGAAGTTTAGTTTTTTGAGTTTGGGATAGATCGAGGGAGAGATTAAGGGGGAGACTGAGCTCGAAAACGGTAATAATAGTGGAAAAAGTAAGATAAGACTGTTTAATGAGAGTGTTTGCTTTCACAAAAGACCGAAAAGGCAGCTGAGTGAGGCTAAACAGGAGCCCTCTCTCTCCCCTTGGTGTGTCGAGGAGGGTGGCAGGTGTTCAGTTGAGGGAGACGCATCGCCTCAGTCGGCTCCCCAAGCCTCAACAGGGTGCCGAGAGACGGAGGACAAAACGGCTGAAACGCAGCTAAGTGTAGCCAAAAACTCCCGTGAGTATGAACGGATAAACGTCTCTGAAGTAACCGTTTGTATCCCCGGGCGGACTGTTTCTGAGGACCGCTGAAGACTGTGGATAAAAAAGCGAAAGGCTCCAGTGTCGCAGTAGCAGCAGTGAGAGTAACATTACCGGCTCTGTAACGGCCGTTTTTTTTCCCCCAGTTCAAACCGACTGTTACTTTTTGGCTCGCGCTAACTCTTCTTCGCTGGTGTATGTACAGGAAAGGTAGGAAAGGAAGCTCCCAGTTGTTGCTGAGAAACTTGTTCTTTCTGAAGCTAACCTGTTGTGTAATTTCACCGTGTAATCCGAGCCCCGGCGCATTACGGCAAGTTAGCCTATCTTGTATTCGAGGGAAGAGTACCCCTTCTGGGAGAGTGGATGTCTAACTTCAGATAACAGACTGCAGCCCACGCTTCTCCATCACGGACGCTCTGTCCAGTTTGTTTGCACTCAAAACCAGCGGTGTTCACAGAATCAATTACTGGATGGATTTTTTTTAGAGCACACATACAGGGCAAAAGCATGGTTGGGTAATTACGTGTTTTATTGCTTCTCTTGTTAATACGACCACTCTCTAAACAGCTAAATGATCCGCGGGACAAATCCCCGGTGAAGACATCAAAACAAGCGCGGATTTGAGGTCGATAGCAGGCAATAAGCCGATAAGTCTAAAACACACTCAAATGTATTAATTCCTTGCTCGATCAATGCAAATGAAAATGAGGTATCGCAGGACGCAGGGACACACGGACTCCGCCACAGCAGATAGAGATTACCGTGCCGTTACACCGTAAAGACACATAGTGAGGGAAAGTCCCCCCTGTGCTTCTTCTCCCGCTGCCTGCTGAGTTTTGGACACCGGAGCTGGGGAGTCAGAGCGGGGAGCTTGTCGGCAGTGACAGCGGTGAACTCCCGGAGCTCTGAGCTTCGCCTCACCGGGAACGCAGAGCCGAAGCCCGCGTCTCCTTCTCCGCTCGGACTTCTTCCTATTCGTGCGCAGGACAGAGAGAGTTGCAGCAGCAGCAAAGCACAAGCGGACACGGACACTGTTGGCTCCCTTCTCCCGCATGATGAAACCAGGAATTTGCTGCCCTGAGGGGTCCCCGGAGCGTGTGGAGGGACCCGCAGCAGGGAAGATGATGGGGACAGGGACGGCCCGGAGTGGGAGCCGGTGTACGCCTCTTTTTCTCCTGCTCCTTCTCGGCAGCAGCTGCCACATGTTGCATGGCCAAGGTAAGAGCTTTGCTCCCACTCCTAGGTGCAAATGTCAGAGATGCATTAAAGAATATTTATGTTGATAGATCTGTTAATACAGTAGGTGTTTAAAGAGTGGCATTGTACAAAGTGTATTGTCTGAAAACACACACTGACAGACTCATTTGTTACTGGGACCATGGTGAACAGGGGGAAAGTGAGATGATGACTCCTGAACTGGAAACAAGGGTGTGATTTATACACCAAGTATAACAGTTTGCCTATTAGTTTGGATGTGTCCCTGCAGGAGGATAATACAGGAGGGGGTGTTTTTTATGATGCCAACAATGTTTTTCTGTAAATGAAGTCAGGCTGATTGTTTGTGGGGGGAGGCACCTAATACAGAGGATGTGTAAATTATGGTTATTGTTATAATGTATAGAATGTAGGATGATGATTGTAGGATTAAGGTATTGAGGATGTGTATGGGAGGGGTGTTACAGTTTCCAAGCATTGATAATCCCCCTCTTAGTCAATGACCTGCTTAACTACAGCTCTTGATTTGGCACAAAAGCACAAACACACAAACACATGCAGCAGCACATAGTGTTTTCAGTCACGTTGCCTCCTATTAGTCCAGTGCTGACCCTATTGTGATGGCAGGTGTCCAGATTAGTGTGTGACTTGTGGTTGCAGAAGGTTTACTGTATCATGACTAAAAGATGTGTGTAGAAATTGTGCATTGCCATGGTACTTTTTTCTTTTGCAGCAATAGAGAGAAAACTGTGGATATTTATGTGTGTGTGTGTATGTGTGTTTCTTTTGTATGTGTGCATATACCTCTCGGGATCATGTCAAGAGTGCCAAAACAAAAGCACAGAAAAGGTCAGGCTAGTGTTGGCACACAGTTTTCTCTGGGTCACAGATGGCGTGGTGGGCTGAATGTAAGGCTGAGACTTGGGGGTCATGCGGAGGAGGGGTCTTAGGAATGTCTGTGCATATATGTGTGTGTTAGAGGTGGGGGTGAGCTATTTGTGAACCCATGGAGAATGTGTATGCCATGCTGTTTAAGTGCAGGAAGGTAGAGAAGGACTGAGGAGGGAAAGAAAGTCCGGAGGAGGGAGGCAGTGTGGTGAGGAGAAGGAGGGAGAGGGGAGTGGCAGGGAAAGGGGGTGAGAAAAAGAAATGGAGTGGGGGGGTTAGAGAAGGAATGCGGCGCACCATGCTTGTCACTCAGAAAGCTGTGTCTGCAGTTCAATCGATGATGATGGTATGACAACACCTCTGTGTGTGTCAAAAGTTGCTCTCCTCTTCCCTTCTTTTCCCAGTCGTCACACTCTCCCTCACTCCTAGGTGTTGGGGAGGAGGTGGGAGACGGAAGGATGGTGTGGCTGCAGAGTCAGCTCCTTGCGTCCTCCTTCTAATGTGAAGGTCTCAGCACCGGCACCAAAGTTACCACACACCCCCATTGCCCACCCTCAGACACACCAGCCCCTTCCAGCTGTCTTGGCTAAGGGGGGGGGGGGGCCCGCTGCGAAATGTCTATACCTCAGAATGGCTGGCAGGAGTTGTGTTTGTATATGCGTGTGTGCTGGGGGTAGGGGGTGAATTGGAAATTAGTGAAACAGATGCGGGATGGGGTTGGTGGTGGTGGAGGGGGGGTTGGGTTATTGATTTGATAAGCTGTGCCAGGCGGCCAGTCGAAGGCTGTAGATTTTCCAGGTTCCGACCCTTCTATCCCCAGCATTTATTAGAACGTTTTATTTTAGGAGGAAAAGGATGAAATTCATGAGCCAAGGTTGATCCTCCTGATCTCTCCCTGCCCCTCTCTCTCTCCCTCCTCCCCCTCTGTCCCTCTCCCTCAGTCACTCTCTCTCCCTCTCTTTCTCTCAGTCAATCGATGCCCACACCCCTCCTCATAAATGTGAGGCTTTATATGAGCCAACTCTCGTCTCTGGGAGCACATTTAAATAAGCTCATCGATCTTTCATTTTAGAGTTTAAGTGACGGCAGCATTTTACTGTCTCTCCTCTTCCTCCCCCCACTTTCCTCCCCCTCTCCTCTGCTCACCTCTCCACCCACCCTTCTATATTCATAACTTAAACCCGTCCCCCCCCCCCCTCAGCCTCCCTGTCACTGAGTGGGTTCTGCTCCACAGCTGTTTGACTTATTCACATTTCCAGCGTAGACACAGCCAGAGCCTCACTCTAGACTTTATATTCTGACTGAAGTCAAGGATGGGTCACATTTAGCGTGTTTCAAAATGTAAATTATATTCTATATCACTAACAGAGTCCAGAATACCTTAATACTTTGCCAGCTGTTCAGGATTTACATGAAATAGCCTTGTGTAATTTCAATAGTGCATTTTGGAGATTTTCAACACAATTTTCAAACATTTTGAGATGCCCAAATCACAGGGGACCGCAAAATACTTCAAATGACATTTAAACATGGAAATGTTCAAAGTCAGAAGGGGTTCACATAACAACAGTGATATGCACCATTAGGTTTATAATATGTGCAGAATGATTTTGTCGCAGTTGCTAATGTGGATAATGATAATGGTCGATAAGTAGCCAAAATGTAATGAAAAAATACTGCTGGTCGTCATTATTGCTAACCTTGCCCAAGGTAATTGCATTAAAATGTGGCTGGAGCATCCCAGCTGTAAAACCATTGCACTTATTTCGTGTCTAAAAAATAAATTGCAGGTCACAGTTTTTAGGGCTCTTACTAAAGTTTAGTTTCTTGCCATGAATATGAAAGTTTTCCTCAACTAGGCCAAGCAGACTTGCTGACCCACTTAGTGGATCTATCAGTGTGATTAGGTTTGATATGACACATGTCATTGGCTCAGTTAAGCTGGAGCTTGACGCTGATTGGACCAATGGGCATGCTTAAGTGAATTGAGGTCACTGGTAGGACATTTGGATGGTGGGCTGTGGGCTGGGAGAGTTCTGAGCGTGATGTCAAAACCCAAATCGAACAGACTAGCATGCAGCTTTACACATGTGCACACATCCACATACACACAAAGTCCTTCTCTCTCATCAGTGTCAAACAGTTAAAGCAGACGTGGAAATTTGCTTAACCACGTTGTAATGAGGAGAGGGTAAATGAGAAGGCTCATCTAACTGATTATCATCGTCCACGCTGCACAACCGTACAGTGACTTTTCCACTTCTCTCACACTTGTGAATCCTATGTCTATTTTTACATTTTTTTATTGTTCTACTATTCTACATTGCTTTGTCTTGAATTGCTCTTGTATAGTTCACACTTTTACTCCTACTCGTATATATGAGTTGCATCTACCTCTTATTTTATTTAATCTTGTTTTTTACTTATCTATTTATCTGTACTTATTTTTGTCTTTTGTCTGCAACACCTGAAGTTCCCTCCTGGGGATCAATATAGGCTTATCTTATCTTATCTGATGGTCTTACTTGGCACCGTTTGCTTGCAGCTCATAAAAACCAATATTTTTCAAACAGTTATGAAGCAATTTGTATTAGAGGGTGTTTGACACCAGAAATATTGTAGCACGCTCCATTACTTTAGCATGCAACCTGAGGATTTTGATGTATTTTTCAAACTGTAAATTCACTGCTTGTTACAAAACAGTTATACACATGTCTGTGTCTTTGCCCACGGACACACATTTAATCCCACATTCAAGTAGCTCGCATTTTGGAGGCCTCAGGAGAGACTTTGCTGTTTGATGGATTGCGTGTGTGTGTGCATGTGCATGTATTAGAGAAGGAGAGGAGGAGATGGAGGTGAGGACAGTGTGAATGTGTGTGTGTGGGAGTGTGTGATAGACGTCAGGTTAGTCAGGTCTAAGAGGAAGTGAGGTCCCTGGTCGACTCCCTTATTTCCTGTCTGTCAGGAGGAACAAATCACCACACTTCCACAGCTACCTGGCACTTTACGCTCTGTGAGTGTACCTGTCTGTGTGTTTTGGAGGGACTGAGTTTGTGTGTGTCTACCTGTCTGTGTGTGTGGACTACATACAGTATGTGTTGCTGGCAGGTGTCTGTGTGTGTGTGTGTGTGAAGTTAATGCTAACCCTCTATCAGTCCTAAGTGTTTTCTTCACACAGCAGTCGAAGTGGCAGCTATAGAAAAGCAGCCAGTGTCTCCTGATGGAAAATAATCACCTGTGCTTTCTGAGTGTGTGTGTGTGTGTGTGTGTGTGTGTGTGTGTGTGAGAGAGAGAGAGAGAGAGAGAGAGAGAGAGAGGTTGTGTGTGTGTTTGTGTGAAAAGTACAGTGCAGCAGGTGCATATTCCATCTTATTTTGTTCACGTGTACTCACACAGTAGTTTATATGTTTGACTTTTTTGGTGAGCCTGTAAATTGTGTCGGTGAGGTCACTACGAAGTCAGATGGGTCATGTTTCCCACTCCATCAGTATCACTATTACTGCAGTCAGTCACAAGCACAAAATATTCATTATAAATATAATGATATAAGCTTGAAGTGTCTTTAATTGTGTGCTCCTGCCCAGTCAGAATGGGTGCCCATCTTTGTGAAAAGATGCATTTTATAGGAGTTTTCCACAAAAACATCCTTCAGAGCTTTAAAATATGAGCCAAGTGGGACACACTCCGGTCTCCCCCTGCCTCCCGCTCTGTCTTACTTCTTTTTGCTCCTCATTTTTTTGTGTTTGTTCTTTTTGGTATCGCTCCTCTTCTTTTTGGTTTCTCATTCTTTCTTCCCTCCTTGTCTCCCCATAAGGGACTTAAGAATCTATTGCTGCAGGCCACACAGGTGGAATGGAGGCTGTTTTGCTGTTTAGGCCTTGGTGTTTATTATGTAAGATAGGGGGAGGAGGTTGCTATTGATCCGTTGTCTGTACGTGTGTGAGAAGCGAGGGAGGGGAGGGGGTTTAGCACAAAAGCTTATCTTGTACTTTTCAAGATGGTTCTACAGCGAGACATCCAAATAAAGCAGAACGCTTGCAAAACATGAACTCTATTGATTGACTGAACTGCAAGACATCACAAAGCAAAAAGACTGACAGGCAGATATCAAG